TCCTCCATAAAACATTTATTTAAACTTACTTTACTTTACACAAAGTATAAAGCTGTCATAAGCCAATCTTGAAGTATAAAAATACCACCCTTGTTTACAGAACAGATACTTTTGACCACTACTGCCTTGGAGAACGTGACTGAAATTCATCCAAGTTGCAAAGAGTTTTTCATAGCATCCCTGTGACACCCTTTGCCTGTCACCCTCGTGCCCTCTGGTCCTGCAACTCATGTTACAACAACCAACCCTGTCTCTGCAGTTTCCAGATTCTCCCTCCCATTTCTTACCTGAGGTGTTAATGTGATCTGCAGTGGAGCATCAGGAACCACCACAAAGAGCCTCATGAACTGAGCATAATGTGGCTTGAGTCCTCGTCCCTGAGTTGATGACAGGATGTACAGTGGCATGTCAGAATTGAGAGCTTTGATGGCAGATTCCTTTGGCCCCCCTCCCATCACTTTCATGACCTTATCAGGCCCTGAACACATGAACCTTCTACCACGTGCATCTTCATATTCAAACCCTACAAAAGCTCGAGCTATGTCATCTCTCCGTCTTCCTCTTCCCATCACAACCGCACTTCTTTTTCCAGGAACAGCCTTGTTAGGTGCAGGCCAGGAGTTGGTATCCAAGTCTCCCTCATCTTCAGTTCTCGTCCTGATGACAATGTCCCAAGGCATTAAATAGTTTGTTCCTGGGATAAAGCCCTGTTGATCTAAGCCTGTGTGGAAGTTATACGCCTTAGCAGGCCCCAGCTTGACCAGTGACCAACTGGAGAATTTAGGCAAAAGCCCTTTAGGGCAATTAGAATGGAGCATCCCAGGGAGGTACTCGACAGTGGACACCTGGCGATCTACCAGGCTTGGCCTTTTCTCGCTTTTGGAGTCCCCACTCTGCCCATGACTTTCTGCATTGTCCCCTGCACCCTGGGCATCAGGTGGGTAAGTGCCCAAGCTGCCCGTTGACTGACCCAGGCTGAGGGCCAAGCTCAGGCCTGTGCTTTCTCCCTGAGTCTGAGGTTCTTTTTCTTTAAGTTTCTCAATCTCGCCTTCTGGAGGGGCAGGAGAGGACTCATCCCGAGCAGGTGCTGGGTCAGGGGTGCTTGGCTGAAAGACAGGAAAGTTGATGTGCTCCAGTTTCCCACAGCATTTTTCTTCCAGCAGCTATGAGAAAGAAAATGTGGTTAATTTCCCATCTTCTTTCTTGGAGATGAGAGAGTTCAGAGTCATTACCATTCAGCAGCTACAATTAAGACTCAAGAGGTTTGTGCCACATGAGAACCAAAGCAGTGATGGGAATACAACCCACAGATACAATGGATTTTAAATTCACATGAACCAACGCACTTTAAGCATAAACAGATGCTCCTGTGGGCATGCACTGGTGAAGACTGGAACTGCCCACTCTGGTCAGCCCAAACAATTTCTGATTCCAGAAATAAACTTCCCCAACCAACATTTACAAGTTGATGAGGTTAAAAGAAAACTTACTTGCAGTCACTTCAAAAAACAGATTTTGTTGATGAAGCAAAAGCACTGCTTGAAACAAAAATAGAGACCTAATAATTACCTGGTAGAAGTCATAATTAGCTGCTTTGATATCAAAGGGATCATCCCGAGGAGCTTGTTTCCTTCCACAGTTACAGGCACCAGTGGAACGAGCCCGGCTGTTGTGGTACAGAATTGGAGGATTCCTGTCTGCTTCTGGCTTTTCCCCTGAAAGCAAAATCAATCAAACCCTAGATCAATTGCTCGCTATTTCTAGAGAGTCTTTAATTCCCATCATCCACTGCTTCCTCCTTGCTATATACATATGCAAAATTTGCCAGCTATGCCAATTTGTCAAGCAACTCCCTCCCTTTCCCACTTTTCATACAAAGTTCCAGTGCAGGTTAATCACTGAACTGACTCTTCTTTGGTTTTACCACCTCTTTCTAAAAGGCAGATTTCTTGCAGGCAGAAGAACTATTTATCTCTGACAGTTTCTGTTCCTTGATTGACATCAATCAAAGTATTTAAAAAAGCTGAGGGGGGGAACTGATGCTTCCTGCAGAACTTTTGTTCTCTCACATACCTCTTGTTAGAACTGACTACAGTGTAATGTCTCTAATTAGCAAGATGGAATCAACACTGCTACTAAAATCAAAGTGGCTACTAACAGTGCACTCACTCTTAAACATAAGTTAATGTAAAGAAATTTGCACAGCAGCTCTGCAATAATTAATCCCCCTATTGGGATTGATGCTCTAAAGTTGCCAAGCTTCCATCTTCCATACACATGCCAAAGTCTGCACTTTCAGCCTAAGACATTTTAAAGCAGACACAAAATTAAACCACAAAACCTAATTACAAACGAGCCCCTTTACCTGCTTTTGGGAGCAGATGAAATTTGTGCACACAGTGCTGGTCAGTTAAACTTCGCTCTTCGCAGAGCTGGTGCCCATTGCTCCAGAACTTGTAACAGTCCTCATTGAGCTGCATGGCATACTTGTGAAAGGCTGGGCCACGGGCATGCTGACTGTACACACGCAGGGCCTGTGCCAGCTGGTTCTTATGGACTGTCATGGTGTAATTGTGGGGCAGGTTGGACTGATAGGCGCTGTGGGCCATGGGGAGAGCTTTCTGGCAACGGTTTTCTGAGAATTTTGTGTCTATATCTAAATATCCTTCCAATACTTTGATGCTACTCATGATTTTTGAGCTCAGTTCCCCAGTGGGAGAGTTCAGGTCATCATCTTTGGCTTCAATAGTCACTTCATACAGTTTCAAAGCTGTAGCAACCCACTTCTGGTAGGTTGGAAGCTCGAAGTGAGAGGGCTGTGGGTTCCTCCCCACACTGTCATCAAAGCCCTTTTTGCTGAGCACCAGGTCCACATGCTGCCACAAGAACTCCTTGAGGGTGCAGTCCACAAGCTGACCAGAGGAGCTAGAGCTGCTGGTGCTGCTCTCTGCATTGAAGGACAGCTGCTGCCTGCCATGCCGCATCATCTGAGACCTGCTGGGTCCTGCCAGGGTGGGAGCCAGCAGCGAGTCAGTCTCTCTCATGGTGCAGTTGCTCCTCAGTTGGTCAAGAAGCATGGCCACTGGATCATCTCCATCCTGGGGCCCGCCAGCCACAATGTAGACAAAAGCTTGGTTAGCAGGCACAGTGAACAGGCAGTTGATGCTCTGGTTGGTCAGCACCCTGCTCTTGCGGAAGATGCGGTAGATCTGATCCTCCAGGGCGTGTTGCAACCTCCTCTTGGGGGAGTGTTTCTTGGGGGGTGGCTTCTCTAGGTGACTGCAGGGGTCCTGGCCCCTACCTGGGAGGGGATCCACTTTCAGGGCCCCGTTGAGCTGGAAGAGGAAGAGAAGACGTGGAGGGCACGGCCTGCAGTTGAGCTTCCACTCCTTGCCGACCGGGCAGTCTTTGATGGCAGCCTTCAGGGAGGGCAGCACCTTCTGCCGCAGCCCGTCCAGCGCCCTGAACACACGGTCGTAGGTGATATCGAAGGAGCAGGTGGGATGCACCAGCAGCAGGATGTGGCAGACGGAGAAGAGGTAGAGGAGGCTCAGGCAGTGCAGCTTCTCCTGGTGCTTCCAGAGCTCGTGAGCCTCGGCGTGAGGCAGCCGGGCCGGGCTGCCCGAGGGGTGTCCGGGCCCGCTCTCCCTGCTCTCGGCCGCCGCCAGGTCCCCGCAGGCCCGCAAGAGCTGCGACGTGTCGTAGATGGAGGTGAGCACCAGGTACAGCACGCGGCTCTCCGGGCTGTAATAGGCCTGCAGGTGGTTGTAGTCCTTGGAAGACAGATCGCCCTCCTGCCCCGGGGCGCCGTCCGTCATCTCTGGGTCCTGCGGGAAGA